GGTGTGGGGGCGGTGGGGGAGAGGGGGGGCGTTGTTGGGTGGTTACTCTTCTTATTTATTGCCAACCTTGTTGAAGGATTTCTCCCCTTGAAATTTACCATCACTCAGAGTTTAAGAGGCCAAATTGCTTTGGGGGGGGAAACCTAGAAAATTAGGACGTTAAACAAGAAGGGCAAAGAGCTGAGCGTGCTTTTAATTTCAGATTTTGAACATGGGAAATCCTATGTGCTTGTTCCAAGGCGTGGCTGTGTGCTCTCAGTCTGGGTGCCAGTTGGGTGATTCTTGCTGTCTGGAACAGGGTTATGCCCCAAGTGCAGGGACAGTCCACCGTGGGCACCCTGTCCTTAGTTAAGCAAGTGGTCGTTTTCGTGGGAGGTTTGGTTTAAATGCCTTTGTCTAACAGTTGAAGGAGGTTGCAAGTGGCACGTAGCTTCAGCCAGTCTTGTCAATGTAAGCATTGAATTGCCCACCTGCTTCTATTTTGGTTCCCTCGTTAGAAAGAGTCAGAATAATCCTCTCCCCTTGAGGAGCCAGGGGCAAGTTGACTGCCAAGGCAGGCTCGGCATCCGATTGGCCGCCATCGGCTGGATGGGCCCCAGGTCGTGGGCCTGGGCAGGAAGCCTGCCAGCAGGCAGCTGTGTCAGGTGGGAGGGGAGAGCTGAGGAGGGGGTGGGCTGCAGGACTTGTGGCTTCAGCTGCCCAGGGGAGTGAAACGGTACAGGACAAAAGCACGTGGTCAGACATGGTTTTTCTCCTCCGTTTATATATCCCACCTACACTTACATCCCTTCTTATATTTACACTTGGCTCCATTTTGCTCTAATGCGTAGTATTTACAATAACCCTTAACTCACTAAACTGGCAAGTTTATTTTTCTGTTTGTTTTGTTTTTAATTGTCATTACATTTCCACTTAACAATTTGTTTCACTTTCTTTGTGCCGTTTTTTTTTTTTTTCTGTCTTAAGTTACATTATTAACCAAAACACTCCTATTCCTAAAAGAGCAAAAGGATATGCCTTACTCTGTATTTGCACCTTTCACTCATGAGCCCCTATTTGATATGGATTTTATGGCGATGCACCTAAAATGATGGTGGCCAAAGCTTCTGTAGCTTTCTGGCAAGAGGCTCACTTCAAAAGAAACGGTATAAAATTAAGATTTGCCAGTATTCCAACATAGATTCATTGGACTTTTTGGGGGCGCAGGAGAGTAAATTCAAAAATTGATGAATTGAGATCAAGACATTTTCAAACTTTCTTTAGGACTTCTCATTATAATTATTTATTAAAAACCGGAGGAGCGTGAAGTATAGATTGTGCTGGTAGCCTGCGTGTTCCGTCTTAGAGGAGCGATATTTCTGAAAAGAGGGGTAGCTCTCTTTGGCTCCCGGTTAAACAGCCTGTACTGAGGGGTGTGGGGTACACGTGCAGAAGCACCTCCGGAGCATTTTGGGGGAGGAAGCGGGGGGATAGGGCTCTTGTATTGGGGAGCAGTGCATTGTAGAGGTGGATTGAAGTGTTCTGTGTTTGTTCCTTTACTGTCATTGTATTAATACGACTGAATTTACATTGCAGACTCAGTCCGCTAGTAGCACACTCCAGAAACACAAATCTTCCTCCTCCTTTACACCTTTTATAGACCCCAGATTACTACAGATTTCTCCATCTAGTGGGACAACAGTGACTTCTGTGGGTAAGTAAAGCAGCAACAAGAAAGCAGCTGACGAGCAGGCTCGGGCACTTTGCGCCGCTCTTTCTGGTGGCTTGGGCACGCATGCTGGTGGCCGGCAGGCGCAGACCTCGGACCAGATGCCCAGCCCGCTTGCACTGCCTTATTTGCAGTGAGCTGCAGAGTCAGTTTCCTTTTTCCCTGTACATTCCTTACAGATTTCTCTTCGTAGGCAAAGAGTTGGTTGTGACATGCATATCTGCTTGAGGCGTAGCGGGGAAGGGAGCAGGCCCAGTGCCCGTGGAGACACAAAATAATTCCAGTGTCCTGTGTTTCAGTGGGATTTTCCTGTGATGGAATGAGATCAGAGGCCATAAGGCAAGATCCTACCCGGAAGGGCTCAGTGGTCAATGTGAATCCCACCAACACTAGGCCACAGAGCGACACCCCAGAGATTCGCAAATACAAGAAGAGGTTTAACTCCGAGATTCTGTGCGCTGCCTTGTGGGGTAGGTATCTCACTGTGACTCTGACGCTTTTGCTTCCAGTCTCAAGGGTGGACGGGTTGTTTATAGGTAGTGCAGATGTTTTTGGAGGCGGCGTTGGCGGGTGACATGGAAGACTCTTGACGTCCGTCCCCGTACCCTGTCCCTGCAGGAATCCTGCAGGGACACACACAGGCCTGCCATCGTTTCAGCCATCGGGTGTTGCAAAGACTGACTCATCTGCGTTTCTTCATATAAAGAAGAAAAGGGAAAAATGAGAAAGACATTTGATTTGGCCCATACTTATAGGGAGAATGAAGAAATTTGTCGAATTGGTTCTCTTTAAATGTTGCAGTTTATCATTTTCCCCTTGCTGTTTGTGACTTGGGCCTAACATCTGAGTGGAGCTCTTAGAGGCAGTCTGCCTGGGCCGAGAGTCTGCGGGAGGGGGCCGTGAGCCGCCTCACCGCGCAGGCTTGTGTGGACACCACGAGAGGGGTTCTCCGAGTTGGCGGCGCGCCCGGCTCTGCCGCCTCCTGGCTGTCACCCCTGTCCACCGCCTCCCCAAGCCCCGCAGGTGCGCCTGCTCTTGCCTCGACCGCGCCTTCCAGTGCCACACCTGTTAACTAACACTCCCTGAATCCTGCCGTGGGCTGTTTGAAACAGGGAGGAGCCCTGCCGCTGTATTCAGAAAAGTTTCCTGCTCCTTGGATGTTGCCGTGTAAATGCATGAGGACACAGCACGTCCTCTCACGGGCTCTCCTGGCGTGTCCACGATGGCTCTGCCTTTCCCCTGTGACCCCATCAGCTCTTCTCACTCCCGGCCCCTCGCCTGGCCCAGGGCAGTGGAAGCAGCCACGAGAGCCTCGGGGTTCCCCTGCTGAATCTCG